TAAAGCTCAAATGAAAGATGATACTAACTTTCTTTAAGTTTATTTTAGAACATCTCTGTTAAAGATTTATACCCTGTATTTGTTCTGGGAAGTCGCGGGTGGGCAGGGGGTGGGTGGGAGGTAAATATTTGCAAAAAAAAAAAATTGTTTCTAAAAAATTTCAATAAAAAAAAGGAGACAATGCCACTCCCCAAATCCAACTCATCTGACACGTCTCAGGAAACCTCCAAATACCAATCTACTGTATTTCCTTCAAATACTGTAAGCCAACTTCCCTTCTGAATTATTGCAGTGTGAAAACCTTGTAAAAATGTGAAGTGAAATGTTTGCTGAAAATCTGTTTGATCCTTTGGTAGTGGCCCTTTAAAGAATCTGTCAGCAAGGCAAATACAGTGAATCTTGGTTCACCTCTATTCCAGGAAATCCATAAGGCTGTCGGGGTTATTATCCCAAATTTGTTTTGTGAATAGCTACAGTTCATAAGAGACTCAGTTGCCTCCATTTCCTTCTAGTTAATTTATCCCAATGTCACCGTAACATTCCAGGTACTGGATAAAGTTAGCTGTACGCCAGGCACACTCGTGCCATAATAAACATGTAGTGAAACCTGGATGGAAAACATCACTTGATGGGAGAGGAGATGCCCATTTCTTCTGCATGACCATTAAATCTCACAAACTGCCCAATGTATGCCCTTTGCATAATGACATCATGATGGGAGTTACCTAATTACACTGTATCGACCTGAAGGATGTAATTCGTAGCTTTTGTGCAATAGTGCCATTATGCAAGGGATACTAATAGCTATGAATGACGAGACCTTAACGTAAAATTAATGTAGATTGATTTACCACATCTGGACTTCTTCAAATGCATCTGTCCATTATTTGGCAGGGGGGGGGCATGTCTGGACAGAAACCTGGCCCATTACATTAAAAATCCCTTGAAATCCAAGGGTTACTGTAATCGTTTTTAAACTATTGCTGCTGTGGATAAACATGGTTCCTTCTCTGGATGCTTTTTTTATGGACCATAGGGCTGCTCAAAAAGATGCTGTCTCACTCAGCTTGCATGGTTATTTTTCATACTCTTTCAGTTCAAACAAACAAGTTCTCTGCTGAGGCTGCTAATAAGGACACCAACTGGGCACTGCGAATTCTTGTCTGTTAACAATTATCTTAAGAGCTTCTATTCATTGCATGCTGACATCAGACAGCTGTGAGAGGCTACCATCCAGATGCAATGCAAAAATGGGTCTTAGGTTTTTGCTCTGGATAATTGCAAAATATCTAGGCAGCTGACTTCTGCTTTGTTCATATGGCAAGCTGAAGTTTGGGTTACAATTATAGTATAGAACTGTAATTATCACACCTAATCATTAGAAAGCTAAGACTTAGGAAATCTTTTCAAGAGATTTTAAACAAGATATCCTTATCCTAGCTGCTCCCCATTGCTGGGTTACGAAGGGGATAACATTTTGTTAAGCATTTATAGTGGTTCTTCACAAAGCTATTTCCTATAAGTCTTTTTACCACCATATTACATATATAATATAGAATGTACATATTCAAGTGCAAACAATAGCACTGTTTCGCTCAGTGCATTAACCTACAGTTTTGGTTTATTGCATTGTATGAACTCAGCAAAACGTTTTGAAAAACAAACACAGCTTAGTGTGTATCCAAACTCAGTCAGACATGACATAAAATATAGCGTATTATGGCAAAATGTGTTTGTGTGGATTCAGCTGTGGTTTATTACATAAACCATGGTTAAAGAAACCATGGCTTCGCAAGTTATTAGAACGAATCAGTGTTAAAATTCATTTTATATCAAGGTAATTCAGTTTTGGATACTTTTTAAAACTACAGAATGCATTCTTATTATGGAAATATACACAGACTCCACTTTACAGCGCTCCTCCCAAAAAGTATTCAAAATCAGTATTTGTAGTAAACTACACCATTTTGAGAAAAATATCTATTCAGCGCATTAATTTAAATGAAATCATTTTTCTCCATTCGGCCTTGTTCTCAGTTTTGGGTGTATATGGAAGGGCATTTGCAAATTGGAAAGGGTACAACCAAGGAGAAAACTAGCACTGATGATGTTGCTTCGTTTGAGTAATGAAACATCTGCAAGAAAAAGAGAGTACCAAGGACCGTTTTAAGACAATAAGTGCCTGGAAGGAAAATGCTATGAGGTGCAATTTGAAGCCTAGGATATGTTTAACCTGGAATAGGAAAAAAAACACCTGCAAAGGTTTTGATAACTTTCTTCAAATATTTGAAGGTCACAAAGAACACTGAACAAAAAAAAAAGTTTAAATAACAAGTTGATTTTGACTGGATAGCAGAAACTATTCCTAATAGTAAGAGCTGATCAGCAATGAAACAAATTACCTTGAAAGTGGTAAACATTCCTGTGCTAAAGGCATTTAAAGAGAGGCTAGAGAGCTATGCTATAATAATATTATAGTAATACATTCTTGCACTGTCCAAGTAATGGACTAGATAATTTCCAACCTCCCTTACTTTCTACAGTCTATTCGACTGTAATAGTATATGAGAAAGGCCTTGAAAGATGGATGAAGAATTGCTACCTGGAGGACAGTCAAATAACAGAAGAGGCAGCCCACAGCTGCATAATAGGCGGAGAAAGAGGCTCCGAATGGATCCTTTCTCAGGCTGTAAAAGAGATAGTGGAGATTGCCCCATTTCCGAAGACTCTGACTCTGATCTGTTTCTTGCCCCGAGGCAATCACATATATAATTTTAAAAAAACAACTGAAAGGAAATCTTAGAAACACTCAGCTTGAAAAAGACACACTTTATATCAGTGGTCTCCAACCTTGGCAACTTTAAGACTTGTGGACTTCAACTCTTAAGAGTTCCTCAGCCAGCTTTGCTGGCTGAGGAACTCTGGGAGTTGAAGTCCACAAGTCTTAAAGTTGCCAAGGTTGGAGACCACTGCTTTATATAACTCAATCCATTCAAAAAGCTGTAAAAGTATGCAACACACATCCTTAACTAACTCAGTTTGCTGGCTTTAAGTGACACCCAGAAACATCAATTAAGCATGCAACTGGAACACACACCAAAACTAAGGTGTAGTTGGCCAGTTTGTATTGTGCTGACTCAGCCATGTACGTAAGTTCTGTAGCATGGAAGATAGAATCCTCTTTCTGGAACCAGATTATCTTTGTCGGCCAACTACTATTGTTAATCTCTTACAATTAATGATTGTAATGATTGCTTATGAATATTAGAGCCAGTCTGGTGTAACAGCAAAGGCATCTGGTTAGAAAGGAGGAGAACAGAAAGCCAGCTCACCGATCTTGGGAAAAGAGGCAATGGAAAACCACTTATCTATTCTTATCCAGGTAATCTCTGTGAATTGAATACAATTGACCTTATCATTTCTATTTTCTTCTGCAGCTCCTAGTAAAAAAAAACTATTGTGACTAGACATTTTTTAAACATGAAATGATGATGTTGCTAAGACTTTAGGATAACAGCAGCGGTTAATGATTAACGACAGAATGAATGGAGTTGGGAAGTGATCATCCTCAAAGTCCACTAATAACTGAGCCGATGATGGGAAGTTTTAATATGTTTAGAAGGTATGAAGTTGTGGGGGACCACAAAGCAAGACAAAGTAAAGGTCACCTTGGAGCCAAGCATTGTAAGGGGCTCCCTCAAATTTAGCCAGAGATTAGATGACATCACCTCCTTGTGTCCTGTGCTGGGAAAATGTCAGCAATGGCAAGGCAGAAGAATTTACCCACACTAGTGAGTTGGTCTCATGGTTAAGGCAACAGGCTAGAAAGACGGAGACCATGAGTTCAAGTCCCACCTTAGTCACTCGAGTCAGCAGGGTGACCTTGGACCAGTCACAATAAGCTCACTCAGAGGGTGGTTGTTGTGGAGAAAATAGGAGGAGGAAAGTACGTTGGGCATTTTCCTGTCTTGAGTTAGTTGCAAAAATAATAAAGGTGGGATGTAAATAAATGAATATTTTAAAAAGCATCTTTCTTGCCTATTATAATTGGAATCAATATTGTACCACAACTCGGTCCACTTAACAAGAGGCAGATCTTGCATTAATTCATGATTGAAGTCCTAAGACTAGTTACAAAACACATCTGAAAAAGCTGCATAAATATATTTGCAGATCCTATCAACTTCCTGGTATACCTTGTTTAACTCCATCGGTGGGCTCAATTCCCCCCCTTTTTTTTTTAAAAAAAAGAGAAGATATATTTTAACTTTTGAAAAGCATCTATAGAGAGTCTCAGTCATCCAGGTCACGGCTGTGCCAAAGATGCCTTTTCAGAAGGCAACCAGCCTTTGTTTTTTCCTTGAAGTTTGATTTCTTATCCAAGAAGCATCTTCAATTCAACTGCTGAAGAAGCTTCTTGGATGAGAAGTGAAATCAAGGAAAAAACACTTGCCATTTGAAAAAGCACCTTTGAGACATTGAAAAACACTATCCCCTGCCAAACTACGTAGTTTCTCTACAAATGCTGAAGGGGTCATTCTGGAGAGATGTGGCCAGTTTGTGGTCACAGCTCATCAAAACCAAGCACCGATGAATCCAGTAAATCCTCCAGTTCACAAGACCAGATCACCCAGCTCATCCTTGCCTTCCCAACACTGAATTTATATTCAGATTGCTGCCTGCAGTCCCGTGGCCCAACCTTCCCCCTCTTCCAGGATTTTCACCTTGCCTGACATGCAGCGGGAGAGATTCTCAACACGCACTTAGCACACATCGGTCCATGACAAAGCGAACTGGACTCTTCTCCATTCAATCTGCAGCGTTGGTTGAGTTGTTTTTTTTTTAGTGGCAGCAAAAAAAAAGGTAGGAACGAAGGAGAAAGCAAGAAACGCAGCAGCGTCCAGGACCCACCGCCTAAACCAGTGTTTCTCAACCTTGGCAACTTGAAGATGTCCGGACTTCAACTCCCAGAATTCCCCAGCCAGCATTCGCTGGCTGGGGAATTCTG